CACCATCCCCATCCTCCCTCCCTCCTAACTTTCCCCTCCCATCTCCCTCCTCACCATCCCCCATCCTCCACTCCCTCCTCCCTTCCCCTCCCATCTCCCCCCCTCCTCCCATCTCTCATCTCCCTTCCTCCTCCCTCCTCCTCCCCCTCCTCCCATCTCCCACCCTCCTCCCTCCTCCCTTCCCATCCCCCTCCTCCTCATCCCCTCCCCGCCCTTTCCCCTCAGATCGACCAACTCGGGGCGACAAATCAGCATCCCCGCACACGCACACAATCAGGGCAAGAAGATCGTTCTCGCTCCGTATCTTTTTTTTGTGACTTATTGTGTTTTAGCCATCTGCGCGGACCGGCCAATGGTGATCCATCACGCGCTATTAGTGAGAGTGCCCGACCCCCTGAGCGTCGGATACCCCCCCCCTCCCCATCCCCTCCTCCTCCCCTACCCACCCCGCGCGCACACGCGCATTCGCTCACGTTTTTTGGGGTGTTTTTTTTTTTTTTCTGGGTTTCTCTCTCTGTGTTTCTATCTCTTTCTTTCTTTATTGTTATTTTTCTTTTTCTTCTGGTTCCGCTCGGTTTTTATTGATTTTAATTTTTTCTCCTTCGTTTTCTTCTTTTTCTTTTTCTTTTTTTCTTCTTCGTCTTTTTTGTTCCTTTTTCTTTATTTCTTCTCCTCTATTTCTCTCTTCTTCTTTCTATCTCCTTCTTGCTTTACAGTTTGTGTAAGTAGCGAGAAAGATATTGATTACAATGATAAGAAAAGGATAAGAAATAACAATAGCAAAAGGAAGGATAATGATACTTAAGATAGAGGAATAATAAATAAATAGATAAATAAATAATAAGTTGAATAGATAATAGTGAAATATAAAATGGAGGATAATAAGAATCTTAACGACGTAAAAAAAGGACGATCCCGAACCACCTCCGAGATTCGCCCACTTCCTCCCTGGCGTCCTGTAAGTGAGTTAAGGTCGGGATTAAGAAGGCCTAAGTACCTCCTCCCTCCTCCTTCCCCTCCCCTCCCCTCCTCCCTACCCCTGCCCTCCTGCCCTCCGTCCCCTTCCCTCCCTCCCTCCTACCCTCCTGTCCCCCTTCCCTCCCCCTGCTTATTCTTCTATTCCTACCCCCTCCCTTCCTCTCCTCTCCTCCTCTCCTTTCCTCCTCTCCCATCCCTCGCCCTCCCTACCCTCTCCTCCCCCTTCCCCCCTCTACTACTCTCTATTCCCTCCTCCCCTTCTCCCCCTCCCTTCTTGTTTTTACTTCCGCCTCTCCTTTTCTTCTCTTTTTATCCTTCCCTCTCTTTTATTTCCCTTGTTCCTTCCCCATCATCCCATCCTTTCTTCTTTTCTCGCTTCTTTACTACCTTTCCCTCCCTCTTTCTACGTCCTCCTACCTTCCCTTCCTTCCCTATACCTCTCCCCTTCCTCCTTTCCACCCCTCCCTACCCCTCCTCCCTTCTTCCTCCCCCTTCTCCCTCTTCTTTCATTTTTGCTGACTTCCCGATAGGCCTAAATGCAGCTTTGCCTTGACCCTTGTGTATGTGTGTGAAAGGCTGAGAGGTATAAACGAAAGTAAAAGAGACAGATAGATAGAGAGAGAGAGAGAGAGAGATAGACAGAGAGAGAAAGGGAGAGAGAGAAAGGAGAGAGAGAGGAGAGAGAGGAGAGGAGAGAGAGAGAGAGAGAGAGAGAGAGAGAGAGAGAGAGAGAGAGAGAGAGAGAGAGAGAGAGAGAGAGAGACAGACAGACAGACAGAGAAGAGAGAGAGAGAGAGAAAGACAGACAGACAAATAGACAGACAGACAGGCAGAGAAAAAGAGAGACAGACAGACAGACAAACAGAGAGAGGGGGAGACAGACAGACGGACAGAGAGACAAACAAACAGAGACAGAGAATGAGAACGAGAAAAAAATATATATATGTATATCTGTGTTCGTGCATGTGTACACGATTGAATATCAGCGCGAACGCATGTTTATACACAGACACACGTCCATCCACACGCAGACACGCCGCGTAGACAAAAGAAAAAAAACATTTGAAGGAAAGCAGACAAGTTCATTCAAAGCGTTTCGGATCTTTATCGAGTCAAAAACCTGAAAAGGACACAAGACGGATCGAAACGTTGTCTGATCCAACACACACCCCTATGGTCACTGATGAATCACCTTCTGACAAGCAGTCTTCTTGGGCGCTTACTGGTATCCAGATGCGTTTTTTGTTTGTTTCTTTGTTTCTGTGTCCTTGTTGTTGTTGTGATGATTCGTATTCTTTTTATGTTTTTCTGTTTCTTGTTTGTTTATTTTTTTGTTTGTTTTATTTCTTTTTAATCATTATTGTTATTGTTAATATTATTTTTTCTTTCTTTCTTCTTTTGTTCTTTTTTCTTTCTTTTTCGTTTCTCTTCTTCTTCTTGTCCTTCTATTTCTTCTTCATCTTCTCTTCCCTCCTTTTTCTGTAATATCATTTTCTCCCTTTCCTTTCTCTCCCCTTCCCCC